TGTCGTGGGTAAAGTCGTGGGTAAAGTCGTGGGTAAAGTCGTGGGTAAAGTCGTGGGTCATAAAATGTGCTAAAAACGCATTTTTTCATATTTTTATTTTTAATATTTTTTGGTACTTTTTCCTTTTATGCGCTAGATAAATACAGGAAGATTTAACGCAACAAATCTCCAGTAATAAAACAAGTAAATGTTTCCGTTTCGTATAGTCTTATATAAATAAGTCTATAAATGTATTGTTTGATGATAAAATGTCCTAAGTTATAGGATATTAGGATATAGGTTTATTAGCTTTGGAAGTGTTATAGTCCCTATCATGAACGTCGCGAATAACTATTTCGATTGCATATGTCTGATGCAAACATATTGAGCTATAAATTCTACGTGGCCAACACTCGAGCCTCACTGAATTTTGCTATTTTATCTCCTAGACCTAGTATATGTTCGTGGCCCTTAAAAGTAGACAAACATTTCATGTGTATGTGGCGTTCGGAAATATCCATAAATTGCTACGATTTGGGATTTCGCGATTGAAAACCGAAATGACTTGTGCGTTGTCGCCATGTCAGGCTATTTGCCAACCGAGCGCGCTAGCCGCTGTTATTTTGACAGAATATGATACCTCTACACTTTTCAGCCGTAATACATAATGCGCGGATTGTAATCATATACATATCGTTTAATTTAGCTTCAAAAACTTATTTTGTTAAATGTAAAATGCGCAGCATGTTGCGTACATTAATATCAAAGAAAAAAGGTTGACTTATTTAGACTGAAATACTGAGCAAGATTTCCCGTTACATACATGATTTATACCGAGGCGGCTTTGCATGTGCTCTGCCTCTGGCAACTATGACACCATTGCGCTCCGCGGGAACCAACACGAATAACATGTTTTTTATCAGGTTTTTGAAGCTAAATTAAACGATATGTATATGATTACAATGCGCGCTGAAAATTACGGCTGAAAAGTGTAGAGGTATATCATATTCTGTCGAAATAACAGCGGCTAGCGCGCTCGGTTGGCAATTAGCCCGACATCGCACAAATCATTTCGGTTTTCAATCGGGAACTGAATCCCAAATCGTAGCAATTTATGGAATATTTTCGAACGCCACATACACATGAAATGTTTGTCCACGAACATATACTAGGTCTAGGAGATAAAATAGCAAAATTTGAGGCTCGAGCGTTAGCCACTAATTATACAGGCACTGCAGCGTAAAATTTATAGCTTAATATGTTTGTATCAGACATATGCAATCGACATAGTTATTCGCGACGTTCATGATAGGGACTATAACACTTCCAAAGCTAACTGATAAACCTATATCCTATATAACTTAAGACATTTTATCATCAAACAATACATTTATACTCTATAGGCTTATTAGACTATACGAAACGGAAACAAAATCAAACACTTAGCCTACTTGTTATACTATAGATAACAGCAAGATAAGAAATTATTTTATTTATACTGGAGATTTGTTGCGTTAAATTTTCCTGTATTTATCTAATGGAAAAAATGGAAAAAGTACGAAAAAAATATTAAAAATAAAAATAATATCTTCGTGAAAAATGCGTTTTTAGCACATTTTATGACCCACGACTTTACCCACGACTTTACCCACGACTTTACCCACGACTTTACCCACGACACACGACTTTTAACCCACGACACACGACACACGACATATAGGGACACTCATAGTTATATCAACACGAGTGGAAATTGGGAAAACGAGAAAATTGTGTGAAAACACTCCGCCCTTCGGGCGTCGCGTTTCCCTTACATTTCAAGCTACTCAGTGAAGCTAGGACAACTGCTACTTTCAATTCAGTCTTAGAACTTTTCTCAATTATTAACCCTGTGTTAACCTCAACTTAAACTGTATTATCGTTTTCGTACAATGGATATTAGTATAAACCTACTAGTAGGCTATCACATATCGTGCCTTCTGATTGGCTACGCTACTGGTAGGCTATTAGTGATAGCCTACTAATAGAAAATTCAAAATGGCGGAAAATTCGCGTTTTGCACTTTTGCCGAAGTGTCTGATGATTTTTTGGACGATTTGTTGAACAATTCTGCACTAAAAACCCCCGAAAAAAGCAATAAAAATATGGAATGGCAATTTTTAAGGGTAAGTAAATAGACAAAATAACATACACTCAATGAAATTTTAAAATTAAAACTGAATTTTGTAAAACATTTTACGCGAAATATTTGTTTACCTTTAATGATTTTATAATGTTTTTTGTGTATTTTTGTTTTGTGTTTGCAGCCTAGTTGTAAATTAATGTTAAAGTTTACACTAAAACAATTAGACAACTCGGCCTCGTTGTCTATGAACAAATAGTCAACTCGGCTTCGCCTCGTTGACTATTCGCTCATAGACAACTCGGCTTCGTTGTCTAATTGTTAAATAGACGACAAGTTTTCTTCTGCAATCATTTGGTTCAACAAGTTTGTTTACCGCGTCGCGTTCCCGTGCTACACTCTTAAGGTCGCTAATTTAAGAGTATTTTTGTCTGTGTTGGTGTTGTGTACTCAGGTGAATATGATGTTTGCGATGTTACTCTGAAGCCCCGTTTACACTACGCTAGATTTTTGGTACCGTACCACTTTTTTGGTTCTTGGACTACCTAATAGATAGTACAGCCCCGTTTACACTACGCTCAATTTTTGGTACGGCGCAGATAAAATAGGTACCCGTACCACTTTTTTGGTTCTTCGACTACCTATTTAGCTAAGCCCCGTTTACACTACGCTCAATTTTTGGTACGGCGCGGATAAAATTGGTACCCGTACCACTTTTTTGGTTCTTGGACTACCTATGGAGTGAGTGTTTATCCACACCGGGCAAGCTTGAAAAATATGCCTGGCCGCGGGGGGGAATCTAACCTACGACCTTGGCAGAGCATTGGGCCAGTATTCCAGAGGTCGTAGGTTCGATTCCCACCGTGGCCAGGCATATTTTTCAAGCTTGCCCGGTGTGGATATACACTCAGAGTAACATCGCAAACATCAATTTAAGAGTAGTACGGCAAAATACGGATCACTGAGGTTCCGCTTTACTTGACAAACCAAAATATCAATGTCCTCATAAGTTTGTGGTTGAGAAAACAAAACGAAAGTAGCTTAGTGAAATAAAATGTTGAAAAATGGAATCTGACCTAATTTAGTATCCTGTTGAATTGCTTCCAATTCATGGCAATGAAACCAACGAGTGTGACAACACGTACGTGCCCAAAATAATTCATCAGTTTTAGGGAAACCACCCTGGCAAAATGTCCGGCCGCACCGCTTCCAGGAAATGTTTAACAAAATATCTTCGCAGAGGAATTTTTTGTCATCTTATATACTGGAATATGCCATATAATTTTCATGTTGTTTAAAAAAGTGTTTTGCAAGTCAAGACATCACAATTGTTTATCACAATGTGTAGTACGCAAGGGTGGGCAGTAACGAAGTAGTTTTTCAAGTAGCCAGTAGTTTTTGACTACTTTTTTAAAACAGTAGCTGTAGTTATAGCGAACTCAGTACATTTTGCCTAAAAGTAGCCAAGTAGTTATTAGATTACACTGATATTGAAGGAACTAGACTCAGTTCCGAAATATTACATACTCGAACCGACCTGACGCGTAGCTCAGTTGGCAGAGCATTGGGCTAGTATTCCAAAGGTCGTAGGTTCGATTCCCACCGTGGCCAGGCATATTTTTCAAGCTTGCCCGATGTGGATATACACTCAGAGTAACGTCACAAGCATCTTATTCACCTGAGTTCATTACACCAACACAACAAATAGTTGACTACTTTTCAAACAGCGAATCGCTATTCGCTACTTTTTAAAATTTTAGCAACTTGATAAAATAGCATGATATTGAGACACGGCTTGCTTATAAAAACTATACTTTACTACAATATTTCAATTTGCCGACTCCTGAACACTGTAGTGCTTACAAAAATGTTGCATTGTGTTTACTGTTGCTACTCGTAATTCGATTTCAGCATACGTTACATTACAGCTTGAGTTAGTAGGGAGTTTACGATCTACGACGCGGCCGGCTCAACGACGCAGTCTAAATTTTCGCTCAAGAATGAGCGCTAAGCAATTCGATTACTGTAATAAATATTTGACTCTTTCAAATAACCTTACAAAATGCTACGTTCGGCTAATGCGATGCAATGTTTGCTGTAATTTCAACTTTTAGTAACACCTCTTGTGTCGCATTACGCTTTCGCGTTGCCAGAAAGACGTAATAATGCTTTTTTAACGTTGTGTTGAGAATGACAACGCGGTTGACAATACTCATGGGACCACAAATTATTGACAGTTTTTGTCTTGCATGACAAATTTCTTTGTAAGTTCTTTGTAAGTTTGCATGGCGATAAAACACATAGTACTATTGTTTGTGGAAACACTAAATTTCTTTGTTTTGAAAGCGCGTCGTCGAGCCGGCCGCGTCGTAGATCGTAAACTCCCTAGTATAGACGCTCCAAATACAGTAAAACTAAAAAATATAGAGTAACGAAATAGCGAAATAGTTCGCTACATTTTTTAAGCAGTAGCTGTAGTCAGTAGCGAGCTACCTTTGTTTAAAAGTAGCAGTAGTTGTAACTGACTACATATATTTGAAGTAGCTGTAGTTATATAGCGAACAACAAAAAATTTGTAGTCAACCCACCCTTGGCAATACGTTCTCTGAAATCCACATCGGAGCAGGAAGTTCTATATTTGACTCACACAAGCCATTATTTTTGGATTTTGCTTCCAGGAAGAGAAATATATTTTCTAGGCCGGAAACCACCGGTCAAAGACAGGGCGCTTATATATATAAGCGCCCTGGTCAAAGACGTATTCGTGCGCAATTGCATGCGTCGAATTGAAATTGAAAACAACAAATCACGTTTTCAGTTCCTCATTTTTCGACGTGTGCCATGTAGTACGCGCGGCTGTTTACGTTCAAGTGCGCGACAGTGCACGTCTATGCATCTCATTAGAGTGGACTTTAGTATCAACAGGAAATGACGTAATCACGTTAGTACAGTACCTTGAAAGTCCATTCTTGAAAAATTCACTTCGTATTTTTCGACGACGATCTAAATAATAAAATGAAGTAGTGTTAGTAAGCATGTTATACTATAAGGGTCTTCATAAAAAGCCTATAAAAGGTTTGTAGTGGCCCCCTAGCCCTATAATCAACAATTATTTTGTACGTGTAGAAAAGTCACGTTTTCAACGTTGTGGGTGCAAAATTGTAAATAAAAAACGATAAAAAATGGAGTTTGATTTAAAAATCAGATTATCGGCACAATCAGAAGGGTGTGTTGTGTGACGTCTTCCAACGGTTAGTTTTCAATGCAGATAAGTGGTCTCGCCACAGTCGGCGCGTCTAAATGCAACTTTAACAAATCATAAGTGACTCTATGAAGAAACACAATGTGTATATATACCATCAGATGTTAGATACTTTTCCGGCGAAAACATTTTCAATTAATTCAAAACAAAAATAAAATTGAAAGTTCATGTTTACTCAGAAAATGAAAAAGAAAGCGGACAACGTATTAATAAATTTCCAAAAAAGGAGATATAATTTTCGTTAGAAGTCTAGTGTAACCTTTACTAGGAAAGCAGTATACAAGTTATGAGTAAGTATAATCAATAGACAACACGTGTTACAATATATATGATTTATTTATATTTTTCGTTTCTATTAAAATACATTTCTTATCATTGGATATATTAAATATACGTATTTAATTAAATATTTTTATTAAATATATAGGCCATAAATAATCTTAGAATTTTAGATTTAATCTATTCCCTCATACACATAGTTCTATAAATCCTTGTTCATTCTTGCTTCAGACCAGCTGAGCTTTGATAATAAATTACGATTTCCACCCGTAAAAACAAGATTTGTGGTGGGGAGGGGGGATCCCCCTTTGCATTATATCCCACTATGGCCAAGATTTAGAATCACCATTTAACCTCTTACTTCATCTACTTCAACATCCCCTCCGTAAAATAATGATGTTGGTGGGGGATTCCGGGGGAGGATTCCTCTTCTTTGTTGTTCCATTCTCCACCTCTGATCAACTGGTTGATATGGGTAGGTATAGTGCACCTGATACCGGGGGGGAGTGGCAACCCTCTCACTGAGGTACCCATTCTCAGACCAACTATGCCGGCGTGATTCTTCCCGGGCTTTGCAAGCATCAAGTTCTGCAGTTAACTTTCTGATAATTTCCTCAGAATCCTCCAGTTTCTGTTTGTATTTTTCCTTCTCTTCATGTAATTTCTCCCGATCGTTTCTCTCCCTTTCAAAATCCTCTTTGTAAACGATTATCTGAGATTTCAGTATCTCACATTGCTCCTCCGAGGGTCCGCCATTGCTGAAGCCTTGTTGTTGAGCATACAAAGCAGCAGCTAGTCTGGCTAGTTCGCTTTCTAAAGGTCCCTGTCGCTTTTCCAGCTCAGATATATGTAGTTTTAACTCCTTTTCCTCCTCTTCCAGTAGTCGCTTCTCGCCTTTAAGCATTTCATATCGCATTTGAAGTTCTTCGTAGTCTTTCTTCCAGCCATGGTTTATTTCAACCAGGGCTTGAAATTTTTCCTTATATCCCTTATCGTCCCCAGTCGTACCCGATTGGGAGCCGGAGGAACCCGAGCATCGATGTCGCAATTCAACTGCTCTCTCATTTTCTTGCCTCAAATTTCGTATCATTTTTGCCAGTCTCTCATTATCTTTCGCACCAGCAACTACCTTCTCTGCTAGCTCTTTACATTTGCAACATTCAGTTTTATTTTCATTACTCATGCTATAAATATGACGCGTAGTTTCAATGTATAGTTCCTTGTTCACGTTTATTTCCGATCACTACACGAGTTCAGTTCGATATGAATGCTCGGAAGCAATCGCTCTGTTAAATACTTTCAAAGCCAGGTCAAAAAAATTACAATGACGTAATGCACTAATAGTGTACGCCCACGGAATTCTCTAGATATATCTTGACGTCAACCTGTCGTCATGTTAGCAAAATAAAGCGACAATTAGCAATGCGAAGAAGCGATTCAAAGCACTGAAATGGGAATTTTTTACATTCTATATTATTATAGCCCGGTTCAAGCAAACCCCATAACATGTAGCAGTCAGTTTCGGGTCCTCGCTTTCGGTGTATTGTAGTAGTAGATTCGAACACGTTTACAGAAGGGTAATACCATATATGCTCTTATTAGGGAAGTCTGTATATACAAGTGAATATATATTTCTCGTTCTATGCTAATACAGTTCTTATATAGTTTCATGCGCTTTTTTGTCTATACTCATCATAAAACATCGATGGACAGCACTTCTAGTAAGGGGAAAGTTTCCTTATTATGAAATATTACGAGTGTGATGTGTGGAATGACACACCGCATGCTCCAAGCCCTATAGCTTTCCTTCCTATTTTCAAAGTTCTTTAATTAAAACCACCATGAATAGGCCTGACATAACTTGATATAATGCCAGCATTCTTTGATATTAAACTTAATTTCGGTACAATTATAACTCTGTTTTCCTCGTTCCTTTGAAATACAAAGCAATGTGAGGTATAGGAATTATATCAACGTTATAAATTATCTATTGGGGAAAACGAGTTCCCCCCAGGAAACGTTAGTAACCTATACTATCAGCTTTCACTGAATATTTCTCTGCATTGCTAGGTATGACATAGTTTACTCTACTGTGGTTGAAACAGATGGTTTGAGATCGTTTAATGTCACTGGAACATCGTCTAATAATCTACATAACCGTACATTGATTGTTTCATTGACTGATGTAGTCCTACTCAGTTCACTTCCCACGTCTCGACGTAAAGAATTCCCAGCTTGATAAGAATGCATTACTGTGGGAGGAAATTATAAACTATGGGGGAAGAGATTGAAAACCTTGAATAGAAAACGTTGCAACTGAATTGTTTTGGAGATAAAGATATTTATAGCCCACAGATTGATCAGAAGTTTGTGGAGGTAGGGTTATCTAGCTCTTAGTGATTAGGATTTATCTTTCAGAAACTAATATGTATGGAGGGAAGTGATCTACTGAATAGAAATCTTACGGTTTTACATTCTAGAGTGTGACTTGGAGAAAAAATATCTGCAGATTGATAGAAGGTTCTTATACTAATACAGTTCACATCACACATGCACTGTCTGAATTGTCATACAGCTTGGAATTATCCAGAATTTTCATGAATTTTATCTTCTCACAATACCTTGACTCTAGGTTAGGCCTAGATGTCTCAAGCATAATCTATAGACCTTTCTGTCGAAAATCGCTCATATTGCTATAACCATATCTTCTCACTTTTGAGGAAACTGGTATTAGTTCTATTTTGTTCTATCTGATTATACAGTTCTTCCTCACTAATCATTGGAAATTCAATTCATTAACTTCGATCACAATACCAGCCGATACATCGATATCTTATATTTAAAACTATATAAATATTTAAAACGCTTCGATCATTCTAAATATTCGGCATACAATTCAAATGGCAGTTCTGGTATGTTCGGTGACTGTAGTCTGATATTACTGATATAGCGGTGCATATACATACTCCTATACACACATACTGTACGGCGATAGTTCACATACATATATCACTGATACAATTTATACCTAGATCAGTGTATTTCTCATTCTCTTTGCAGAGCATGACAATTTAAGGCGTCAATCATATCCTTCCTTTGAACTTGCGAATATAAAGGAATACACGCTGAAAATAGGGCAGGTCTTCCTCACTTTAAACGCAAGCGGTAAAAGGAAGAAAACCTATCCCATTACAGCTCCCAAAAAAATGCATCCGCTTTTTCTCTTCCCGTTAACCAAGCCTCCAATATAATATTTTTATCAGTAAAAACCAGTATAAACTAGTATCAACCAGTGTAGTTGAGGTGTCGTGGCCGGCACAACTGGCTCGAGCTGGGAGAGCCGGGTTTAATCCTTGCTCGCACCTCTAATTGAGCTCGCAGGGGTGCATGGAAGGGAGTGGAACAGTTGTAAGAGTAAGGAATCATTGTTCAACTGTCGATGTTAGTGTTTATAGATAGCGATGCAACAATGCAGTAGCAGTGTCACAGATTAAGAATATACACTTAAGGCCATTTTCAACTAGGCGGAGTTTTCCGCGCGGAGCGGAATTTTTCTTTGTCTTGTGATTTCTCGGGTGGAACTAATTAGAAAAGACAAAGAGAAATTCCGCTCCGCGCGGAAATTCCGCCTTGTGGAAAACGGTCTTAACGCCTGTATTCTAAAAGCTCACTAGCTCATACTCGCACTCAGAGAGTGGAGGTTCAACCTGAGCTTCCCTTGAGTGTCAATGCTGTTTTTGAATAGCTGGAGGGTGAGTAGTCACATAGTAATGTACGACACTAACCCTCCAGTCAGTATTCAAAAACAGCACTGACACTCAAGGGAAGCTCAGATTGAACCTTCACTCTTGGAGTGTGAGTGAGCTTTTAGAATACAGGTGTTAATCTATGGCAGTATGTAGGACACATACAACCATCTGTAAAATAGAAACACTGAACTCGAAGAGTAAAGTCCCCCTGAAAGCCCTAGGGCCTTCAAAATTTCGTTTGTATTTCAGTTCAGGCAAAACAATGTTAACCCTTGTTTCGTTATATGCATTATAGTCTGGTAGTTGGTCTACCAAATAGCTATAGATTGAGAGGAATTCGACTAGCTGAAAAATACATGAGCAAAACTTCGAGCTGGTATGTAAATCAAGAGAGAGATTTTTCAATTCTCGTGCTCCATCGACTTCTCAACGCTTCCTGAAACCCAAGTTACCACAAACAACAAATTGAAGTGATTCTGGTCAGAACTATCTGAAAAATATGAATAACTTTTCAAGTAGTTCCGACCGAACCCAAGGCAACTTATGGTAAAAGTACTATAATGCTTGGTACAGAATAGCTAACTACACCATATATAGACAATTTATAACAGTTTATATTTTGAATACCAATTATAGTTATAGATTTTCCCGACTTCAAATAAAGACATTACATAAACTCATTGTATAAATCGGGGTTCCCACGGCTCGCTCACTTCTGGAAACTAAAACAATTCTTTCTAAATAACTTTCGATAACAGTAAGTGGGACAGCTATATGACCTATTTTGGTCATCTTGAACTGAAACCTGTCGCGTGCCAGTACTCTTGCCTCTTGGCAACAATTACAATTAATATAATATGTTATTATGCTAGAATACGCTAGACTCTTTGATAGGCCATTATTATTGTATTTAAATGAGGCGTTGCTTAGTAATTCGTTAAATATTGGCTGCAACATACTTGTATTTGCATATATAATACTGAGGCGTGTTTCGTCTGGAATGACATACATATAGAGAGAGATGCAGAAGGATGGTTAGAGAAAGCTAGCTACTGTGTGAAGATGATACAATATAACAGAACTTCGATGCTTCGAGTGAAGGCAAGGCATTTCCTGACGACTTTTGATTGAAACGTCTAATTTTGTTTATATTTTCAAGGCCACAGCTGTCTGCTGTCGGTCGTCTCTATACTTGCGCTTGGCACCGACCTATAGCTTTCCTTTTAACGAAATTTCGAGTTGCGAGCAGGCTAGCACCGACCGCCAGTCGAGATTTTATCACAGAAGGATGATCACTACATGAATTCCTATGTTTTCCAGGTCCATATCAAGTGCCGTATTCTCGTAAATATTCTCCTACATTTTCCCACAAATCAGTTTCGAACTGCCAATCCTGCCACAAATTTTGAAATCCCTAAAATCCCAAACTAACTTTCTGTAGAATCAGCAAAGCTTGCAAGTTGCAGGTTTCCATATGGTCGAAACTGATGGTTGTAAAAATAGAATCAAGATCTTTCTCAAGTTTATAATTTATACCTGTAAACCACATATAAATCATAAGTATTCTTTAGTAATAATCAGTCCGCGTATTTTCAGTCCTAAAATGTTCTCAATTTTTACGACCGTTACGCGACCACATGGAAACCAGAAATCCCACCAAATAGTTACAAATCTCTACATCTCTTGCCAAAAATATCAAAATCCGCTGATGATCTCGCAAAAAGTCATAAAATCCCGGGGTAGTTTTGCAGGGACTTTGAAATCCCCAAAATTCTCGTACGCAAAATACATCCCTCGGTCCACATCAGTTTCTAACTGTTCAAAACCTGCATAAAATATGTGTGGTATACTAGAGGATTTCCTATACTGAATTTTTAACACTCTTCTGGTTCGCTATGCTTCTAAATTAATACAGACTAGAGATTCAAGAAAGTTTGGAAGGTGTGAAATATAGGCCTGCACAGAACGGACTTTACATCACCATCACGTTAACCACACCCTAGGCCTAGTCTACGTAGCAGTCTGGCAGATAAAATCACCGTTAAATTACGTGGGGGATCGTCTGGAGGGAAGAGAGACTGCATTAATAGTCTTTATATAACTACAGTAATAGTGTATCTAAATTGAACCAAGCTATCTGTATTTTTCTATGTACAAGCTATTGGTGGTATTTCTACTTGCGTAATATTACATTCTTAAAAATTACGCCATATTTACAAAGCTACGCAATAAAATTGCGAAATAGTATCATGTTTACATATCTATATTAAGTGCTTGGATTTGTTTACTTACGGTGACCTATGACGCAGGCAAGTCATTGTGATGATAAACATTTCGCAATCGGCTGACTAAATATATCGCAATATGTAATGCAATTGTGCAGAAAATCTCGAAATTGTGAATCAGTATTCATAACCAAAACTAATAGACAAACTGGGAAGTATATACTTAATTGTAGCTCTATATTTCCGGGTAGGCCTGCTCGCTGGCTTATGAGATAGTATAGACATGTCTGCTATCGAGTATTGTACAATAGTACTATTTATAGTTTTATACAGGTGCAATTTTAATGGATGTAAATGACAAAACTTTGATTGATAGTGATGCAACTACCTCAAAAATAGGCTACAAGGAGAGCTTCGACGTTTCGAGCGAAGGCCCTTCCCTTATATTTTATTATTGGCACACCTACACTGGCAGTATGGCACAACCGCGCAATACTGTTAATATAATGATATAGTGAAGATATAGATTACTTCTAGTGTAATTTAAAACAATCTGCTAAGGAATTTCAATGTCTTATATAAGCTTTGTACCTCGCTTTGTACCATTCACTGCCTCAAACTGGCCAGACTCTTCGAACCTTTGCCGATTTTGGATAACTTAGTGCTTGACTTAGTGTGTTTCAGGATTGCAAAAGAGAACATTTCAAGCTCTAGATTAACAAAGTAAAGTATTGATGAGTGTTCCAACTATGTATGTTTTTATCTTAAATAGAATACATGATAGTGTTGGGAAAGCATTGAGAACAGACTAGCACTCTCATCCTCATTTGATCCGGGATTTTAATTAATGTACAAACTAAATTATGAGATTGTGCAGATTACGTGCAAAAGCACATCAAATTTTGGAACAAGTTTGCTTGAAGCTCGGTCAGAGTCTGATTCATTTGCAATACAAAACAATACAGAGTTATCTGCGGAGGAGGCTAGGCAATCCCCGGAGTCATGTTACTTCCGTGGGACGATCATGTGGTAGACAACACTACCATTCAAGGTTATGGTCAAAATATGGAATAGGAAACAACAACCCGGAAATACCTTGTTTCGAAATATTTGGGGAAGAGAAATTACGTAAGGTTTCAATTTCGAATATGAATAGTGGAGTTGGTAAATATTGATGAAGAGTACACATGCGGAACAGTCTTATTAGGGAAATGCATTGTCAGTATGCATGGGACGTAATGTGCTTCTGCACAAACTTTGCACAATCTCATACTTTAGTTTGTTTTTTGTTTTTTTTTGGGGGGGGGGGTTATTAACTTTACAATCAATAACATATATTAACAAATGATTGAAGGAAAAGGACAACAGATCTTAAATAAGATCCAATTAAGTCCCACCAAAACTATTTCTACTAACATGCATGCATAACATTTACAAGTTTATTAATCTGACTTAACACTTTATCTGCGGCTAGAACCGTCTTTTTGTCTTAACAGTGTATAAATGTGTTTTTTTTTAATTTTTTTGAGTTTTTATACTAATTTTTACAGATTACACGTTTACGAACAACAAGTAATGTCAAAGGAGCGACACTTTGTACACAAAGATTTCCAAGTTCTTGGTCGATCGACATCAAAATCTAAGCTCAGTTTCTCATAGTAGTAGTGGTATAGTTTACTTTTGAGCGAAGAGAAGGTTAGGGATGATTTAATAGTTGATGGTCGATGATTTAATAGTTTGTCACTTGATTAAAGAAAGCGTTAGAGTCACCGGCTACCTTGGTTACCTATCTTAATTTATAAGTTAAAACATAGTTGTCCCCTGTGAGGCTGCAACAATGTGTGACTGCCAGGGACGCCGGAACTGGGGAGGGGGCAGGAGGGGCAGCTGCCCCCTCTTGCCTTTTGCTAGGAGGGGCAAGGGGGCAGAAGTGCCCTTTGAGTTATAAAATACTACCTGATAAATCACATTTCCAGTGATGCTTTTTGGGCAAAATCATGAGGTGTGATCTTGAATGTGACCTGATTAAGTGCGTTTGCTTTCATTGGCAAGTCAACACATAATTGTAGGTTTATATCTTCACTGGAGTCTATAGAGGTGCCCTTTGGCGTGCGTTTGCCTTGCCTTTTTATCGTTCCGGCGTCCCTGGTGACTGCCTACTCACATCCTCGTTACACACTCAAAGACATGTGACTTAAATGCAGTTTCGTTCTGAAGCAAACGATTAATATCAAAATTATACAACACAATATTCAGACATTGAATTTGTTGTGCATGTTGCTTCTACGGAATCCGGAATTTCCGGCTATAGTTTTTGCAAGTTTCCGGTTCGCTCTGAGTTATCCGCCACCCGCATATAAACGCCTGCTGTAGGTTAGCCAATAATAGAACTTCCCACTCAACACCACCTGTTCAATCTTATTGAGTACGACATTCGGCCAGAAATATTGCGTTGGCACAGTATTCAAATTTCAAAGGAATCTTATTTGAATACGAAGATTCAAATATATAGCATGGTTTTTATATGCGAGGAAAATTATAGTATAAATATACTTCCTTGATGGTAGTATACGGAAATAGAGTTGAAACATGAACTAGACAATTATTAATAGTTAACTTATAGGACAAGCTCTTGGCAACAACTTTACG